GTATACCAACTAGCCTGCTTATCCACATGGTATAGGGAGAAGGAGGAGATCTGTTGATTAACTCAGTCAACTGATTTTTAACCTAGTTCTGAGAGGGCTATCTCATCACATCTAGCAGTTCTGCCTGCACTCAATGGGAGGGGATTTCACAGAGCGTGCACACCAGGGAACAGGGGCCACGAGGGTCATTTGGAAATCTGCCTACTATTGGGCTTCGTGACTTTCCCGATGACCTAGTATATCTTGGTAACTGAAAGGGATCAATCCCTTTTCCATTTAGTCAGTGTTATTCAGGGTAGGATTTGGCGTGATCTGATCTAGCCTTGGCCAAGTGGTACAGCCATGATCTGGGTCAGATCAAAAATGGGCAACCCCCCACAGGTGCTTCCATCCTGGGAGGGGATACACGCTAGGAAGTTGCGTCCATTCCTCCAACCCCAAACCCTTTCCAGTGTGACAGGTTGTGGAGCTGGATGTGTACCAGTGGAATCTACAAGGCTGCCCATCAGCATCTTAAGTTTCCTGTCTCAAGATGCCAGGGATGGGTCAGCACTGTGATACAGTGGTTAGGCACTTCCCAGCCATGTGGCTGCCCAGACTTCAAGTCCTGGTCCTGTTGGCTTAAAAACAGTGCCAAACGTGTGCATATGCCCAGGTCCTGATGGGATGGAAAACTGAAAGAAAAAGGATTGAAAATGAACAGGCCCTGTTGGGGGATTCTCTCTCTCTTTCTCTCAGCATGTGCGTTCACCCTTTGGCACAAAAAAATTAATAATAAAGATGTTAAGGAGGGTCACAGAGGAGCATGGAAGAGAGTGGGATCCCAGTGGGCCTGAGATGGCGGGAGGTAGATGTAGATGGGGAAAGATCCCCAGAGGGAGGGAAGCTCGAGGCCAGGCTTGTTGGTCAGTCACTTCATAGAGTCCTCCAGCTTGCAGCATAAGCAGAGGATATGACCACACACCGGGCAGAGCGAGATGGCCTTTTCATCTAGAATGTTCTTCCCTGAGTCAATGCACCTATTCCATGTGCTAATACCTGGCCTGAAAATCTTTCCGGAGTCTCCAGTAAAAGGGGCTTGATTGCACCGGGGATTGCGGCTAAGCTGTATGGTTGAAGGGAATGCTTGCTGGGACAGTGAGCGCTCTGGATGAAGCAGAGCCCTGAGTTATTAGACACAAAGTCTGCCATGGTGAAGTGGTTGAAACAACCATGGTATGTGCATAAGCTCTGACCCCAGCTTTCCTCATACTCGATTTCTATGACCCCTAGTTTGAAAATGATAAATAAGTGGGTGCCAGAAAGAGGTTAGAGGCCATTGTCGAGTGTCAAGCAGCATAGCACTATTTGGGTACCTAAGAGCTTGACGAACAGCCATAGTGGGCCAGTCTCAGTGGCAGATTGGTAACACAACACTCCACGATACTGAGACCACATGGGAAGGTCCCAGGTTCATGTCCCCAGGTCTCTTTATACACGCCTGGTGCATGTGCCTGCCTGTGATGCTAGCTAAGGCTGGGAGTAGAATCTCAGTCTTAACACTGTAGGTGTGCCTCTTTCTGTGTCTCCCACTCCAGTGAAGCATAGTGTACATAGTAAATGATAAGAAGAGTGAAGCAAGTGATAAAGTGTATCAGCTTCCTGTCAGTAGAATACAACCTGCATAATGCAAGGAAAGCATTTTAAAGACATAATGTATAAGTCAGCTTTTGCTGTAGTAACAAATAACCCCCAAATCTCAATGATTCCCATAACAAATATGTATTTATTGCTTATGAATCTTCACATTAGCTGTGGTTCCACTGGACTTAGCTGAGCTCAGCAGAACCTTGCAAGGTTCTCTACATGTCCCTTCACTTGGAAAATCGATTAGCAAGAGTTTAAGTCAAGTTCTGCAAGCACATTTAAAACATCTGTTGGTGGACTATGTCATGTCTGCTTACAGCCAATGGCCAAAGCCCGAAGTTAGCAGGGGGTGGGGAGGAGTAGACTCTGCCTATTGAGAGGTACTACAAAGTCACATGGTAAAGGCTTGGATGTATAATCCTAATAAAGCAAGAAAGCAGAATCATTGGAACAATTATTTCATGTATCACACGTGAGGGTGTGCCAGAGGGTCTGAGAGACTGGAGGAAATTCCCCCAGAGATAGAGTTCTCCTGGGGAAGGACAGCCCTCACCATTACTTCTTCCAGATTTCATCAGCATCTGTCTAGTCTGGCTCATAAAAATATAGACATATTAGAGTAGTTTACTAGAGAATTTGCAACTCTCTTCTATGACAGCATTTCTTCCGCAAAGCCAAGTAAACTAAGAGAGACAGAGACCTCTCTTTAGCCACGCAGCCCATCACCAGCAGCTGTGTCTGACTCCTGGGTACCAAGACTAGAGAGAATAGCTGCATCCGAAGCCCCACTGGATGGCATGCTGAGCATGCAGGAAGACTTCTAGCCCCCATGAGGACAGATTCAGTTTCTAGGGTGGGCCTGAAGGTGGATGTTTTGTAGAAGACTCTAGCAGAGGCAATATTCAAAATATTTCAGAACCAGCATGGCACAGGTCTTGCCAGTTGGAACCACGGCCAGTGCACCATACCGAGCATGCAAGTGACTGTGATTGTTCACAGCCAGCCTGGGAAAGCTGTGGGAGGTGGAGGCTGGGAATCCACAGTGGGGTTGTCATTGAAAGGTGAACGGGAGCAGCATCCACCTGTGTGACCTGTGCTTTCCTGCATGCAAAGGACTGTGCATTTCAACTTGAGACCCCAGGGGTCCTGCAGGGCATCAGCTAGATTTGTCTTCCTGCCTGAGGCAATCACCAATTATATGTGCTATGAGGGATGCTGGCCTCCCGCCAGAGGAGGAGGTGAAGGGATTTACAGAATCTCTCTCTGATCTGACTTATTAGAAAAGTTAAAGGATACCCATCCAGGAGGCAGCAAGGCACACGGATAAAGAAGTCAGGATTCAAATCCTTCCGATCCGGGAGGCCTCAGACAAGAGTTCTTTCCCCTCTCTTGGGCTCAGTCCCCTCATCTGGAAAGGGGGAATCGCAGCAGTACCTACCTGGCAGGGTCCTGGTGAGGGTGACATGAGTTAGTGATCCAGCTAAAGCCCTGAGAGCAGTCTGACACAATCCGCTTCACAACGGGAGCCACGATGAATCTTCAAGATGCAAGGAATGACTCAGGAATGAGATTGGAAGCAGACCGTTGAACGGGAAGGGGAGACACAAAAGCTACATGAAGCCGCATGATGCCTGACCCAGACGAGAGTTGCTTTTGTTATCATTTGCCTTCAGCTCTCCGGGATTATCCAAGGCGGGAGAAAGTCGAAATCCTGAGTAACCCAAGGCCTGTCTGAACGGAACCTGCGCGGACACGTTCTCATCCTGCCTTCCCTCCAAGCGGCTGGCGCAGCCCAGGCAAACTGAGGGCTGAAGTTGTTTGTACCACGATAAATGATCTGTGCCCGAGAAGCCACATTAGCTTCCCCTTCCCTGCCGGGAGGAAAGAAAACCAAACCAGATCCTAAATCACAGCCACTGGGCCACACCTTTCACACTGCAGGCTTTTAATTTTTTATTATAACCACATGTGACGTTTTTGTTTTTGTTTTTGAGAGAGATTTTTGCTATAGGTCATGTGTGCTCACCAGAGAGACTGAGAAAAAAAAGCGAGAAATCACCCCCCAAGGTGGGAGCAGTAAGATGATGCTGCAATCCCTTCTCCTCCATTCCCCCCTCAGGATTTTGGGCACACACGCACACACACCCAGCATGAGTTTGAAGCCACCAGGTCAGGGGCTCGAACCATGGGCAACTACATGGGACCCCAGCGACATAACCACTATGCCATCTGCTGGTTCCCCCATGTTACCTATTGACACTGCTTTGTGAAAACCCACCCAGCTCTTAGGAACACCACAAACTTCTGGAAGGTCACGCAGGCTTTTCTTCCATCTCCAGACAAGATGGAAAGGATGAGAAGAATGTAGGGTGTGCTGGGGGCAGAACAGAGCGTCTCCAGTGCCTCGTTTGTCCCGGAGGAGGGCCACGCCACGCTGCTTGGATTGCTGCCTTCGAGAAGGTGTAACCCCTGGGACCGGGAGGTGATGATTACTGCGTCTACCCCCCCTTTCCAGAACTCCGAGTTCCTGAGCCCAAGGCCAATGGGATCCCGACAATTCCCAGAAGCAACTTCATTCCAGAAGGATTTCAGTAACTAACTTAAACCACCGTTTTTTTTATTTCTTTTTTATTTCAATCTGTCCCCTAAAGCCCAGGGCAATATTAATATCAAAAGAGCCCCCCCCTCCACCAAAAAAAAAAAAAAGAATATTTGAAAGCTTCACTGATAACTCCACAGCCATTCATTCAGCTGACTCCTGGGGAAATGGAAGGCATCTGGAAAATGTATTTAAAAATTGATTTAACGTTGAGCCATGTTAAATGTTTTAATTTTCAAGCAACGCAATGCCCACCAAAACATTAATTAGTCCCAGCAATCAGGCAGGAATATTGGCTTCTGTTGAGGGATTCATTTATTTCAGCTCTGCTAAATATTGAAGGAGAAATTCAATGCAGTCTGCAGCTCCAAGGAAGCGAAATCAAACCAGAGTAGACACCACATCAGGACCTGGCTAAAACGAGGTCTTCCCCTTCACCAGCTCTCTCTGGAGGGAGGCACGAGCCTGTTAGTATGGTCCTCGTGCTGTTAACCGAAACGCCCACCCTCCCCACAGCTTCTCCGTCTCCAAACTGGAAAATGAGAGGCTGAAATGGAACAGAGACAGACCCCTGCTGAGCAGACAGGCTGCCTTAAAACTTTGCAAGATCATTTTTAATCATTACTGGTGCCTTTTAAATGTCAAAGTCTTGAGGTCTCCCTTCCCTGATTGAGGCTCTGATTCAGAAAAGGGTCTCCTGAGTCTAAAGTGTCCTCGGACTCCACGTGCCTGTGCCAGCTGCCTGGGGCACCAAAGGGCCATGCGCTCAGGTCACTCACCACAGGGGCTTGGCCATTAGAACCAGCAGGGGGCAGCCAAGCCAAAGACCCCATGAGACTGCCGCTCCTGAAAGCAAACACAGGGCAGGAATGA